TAGGAGCAAGTTCCAAGCCCCTGGGTTTGGCATGACCCAGACATCTGAGAGGCAAACCAGCAAGACTTCTTTCTCTGTCTGCCTTCCAAAATAAAAAGCAAACAAAGAAGCTAAAATTTTACAAAGTAACAAAAACTCCTCAAAACTATCCCTAGCTTCTAAGGGTTCATGGAATGCTCTTAAGTGAACACAATTGTGCACAACATAATGGAATTTCAAAGGATAAAAATAATATCCTAAAAGTTTTTAGAGTTTGGGAGATAAAAGATTACACACAAATGAAGAAAATATAACTTTCAAACTTTGCATAAATGATCTTCCACCCTAAAATTTTACAGCCAACCAAATACTGATCAGATGTGAAGATGGAAAAAGACTTTTTTCACCAAAGATTATTTGAGGAAACAACTTGATCGACCTTTCAGGAGTCAGTGACTTATACCTTCAGCTTCATTTAATGATGTTCAACCAACTATGTCTAGTCTGTTCTGGCAGGCAGACTGTACTGCTGGTAAAGCCAAGTTCTAATGATTCATGTGATCACAGCACAAACTGCCCTAGACTAGAAAACAGGCTCTGCCCGCAACTCTGGGAAGTAGGGCAAGTTACATACCAATCTTGAACCGTGCAACCACTCCTCAAAGTGGCCCTGCAAGGATGTAAGTAAAAACAGGTAAAGCAGAGCTTGACCCACCAATAGCTCTTTGAGCTTCCCTGTGGGTCTTTGTTCCCCAGCCACAAACCCCCATTCTGACCCCACAGAGCAGAAACTCACACACAACTCAGCACATGCCCCTCCTCATGCCTGAGAATCAATCATGATGAGTAAGCAGACTCATCTTTGCATATGAAGGACTGCATTATTCTTGTTACATGAAGGAGATCATTCCTGTTATTCACACTCTGGATTACTGCCTGCTCTCAGGAACTGTTCCAGTTAATCTAGCACACTAGCAATCATTTTTCTTTTAAGTAGGACTGCTCCTTGTGACATCTGTTTAAAACAAGAAATTTGTTTTGCTCATTCAATGCACAATCTCAGAACTTCTAATGCAAGACCTAAATGACAAGAGTTGGCCTGGGGCCTCCTCCTCCTGCTTACTGCAGAGAGAATAGAGAAATCAGCTCCAGTCAGCTCACTGAACTGTTAACCATTTGCAATGTTTTCTTCTATTATTATGACTAAATTCTTAATAGCTATCTAACACAGCAAGCAGAAGGATGGGATCATCTTAACACTGCTTGCTCGTCTTCACTCCCATGGTCAATCGAGGGCCTTCAACGGTTTTATACACAGTACTCATACAGCTAATAACAATCCGAAATCCTCCTACAAACACCAGCATCCCATATGAGTACCAGTCCAAGTCCACGCTGCTCCACTCTCCAACCAGCTCCCTGCTTGTGGCCTGGGAAAGCAGTGAGGACAGCGCAAAGCCTTGGTTCCCTGCACCCACGTAGGAGACCTGGAAGAAGCTCCCAACTCCTGGCTTCTGATCAGCCCAACTCCGGCCAGTGGCCATTTGGGGAATGAATCAGCGGATGAAGGAAGATCTTTCTTTTTGTCTCTCCTCCTCTATGTAAAAATCTACCTCCCAATTAAACCAACAAAACCTTTTCTTTAAAAAGGCAGAGATATCATAAATCATTAAGCCTTTTATTACTAATTCAAACAACATTGTTTTACTAAAACACTGGAGATGAAAAGGACAGAAAACTCTATTCTGAAAATTAGAAGGAAAAGTACAAGGACAAAATAATTAAAAGCAACAACAACATATGGAACAATGGAAAAGGAACAAAATTAGCCCAGAAAACAAGAAAGAACAAATGCAGACTACCTAGTATGAAACAATTCATAACAGCTCGAACTAAGGAAAATTAATAAACTTGAGCCTCCAGATAGTCAAGGTGTAAAGAGAAACTGGATGGCTTAACAAAACAAAAGTGACTAATAAAAGGTAGTCATTTGTCTGATGTCTACCACTGGGTCTTAAGAATATTCCTAAAGGGTCCAGCGTGGTAGCCTGCAGCTAAAGTCCTGGCCTTGAACCTGTCGGGATCCCACGTGGCACCAGTTCTAGTCCAGGAAGCTCCACTTCCAATCCAGCTCCCTGCTTGTGGACTGTGAAAGCAGTTGAGGATGGCCCAAAGACTTGTGACTCTGCACCTGCATGGGAGAACTAGGGGAGGCTCTGAGCTCCTGGTTTCGTTATCAGCGCAGCTCCAGCCATTGCACCCATGTGGGGAGCAAATCAGTGGATGGAAGATCTTCTCTAGATAGATAGATAGATAGATAGATAGATAGATAGATAGATAGATAGATAGATAGAATGTCCCTAAATCTGCTTTGCAGAGATCAATAAATTAGAAAGTCTCCTGGATAGCAATATTTCCTTCATGGTCTCCTTTGGCAGGGGTCTTCAAAACACCCATGGCAAGCCCACATTATAAAAAAAAATCTTTGTGTGAAGCTCAAAGCAAATTTTTAACATTTACTTACTTATTTTCCTTTACTTGAAAAGCAGTAACAGAGGGAAAGGAAGGGAGAAAGAGACCTTCCACACACTGGTTCCCGGGACAAATACTGACAAACTGCCAGGACTGGGCCAGGTTGAAGGCAGGAACCAGGAACTCCTTCCTGGTCTCCCACATCATTCACTGGCTCCCAGGATGGATTATCAGCAAGCTGAAAAGGGAAGCAGGGCAGCCAGTACTCTGAGACTCCAGTATGGATGCAGGTATTCCAAACAGCAGCTCAACCTCAAATGCCACAATGGCCACCCAGCAAATATCCTGCCAACAAAATGAACCTTTTGAGCCTGGCACTTGGCTCAATTGGCTAACCCTCCACCTTCAAGTGCCAGGATCCCATATGGGCTCTAGTTTCCATCCAATTCCCTACATATGGCCTAGGAAAGCAGTAGGGCCCAAAGCTTTGGTACCCTGCACCTGCGTGGGTGACCTGGAAGACGCTCCAGGCTCCTGGCTTTGGATCAGCTCAGCTCCAGCCACTGCAGCTACTTGGGAATGAAACAGCAGATGGAAGATTTGTTTCTCCTTCTCTCTGTAAATCTGCCTTTCTAATAAAAATAAATAAATTTTTAAATAAATAATTTAAAAAAACTTTAATTCCACTTTTTATTAAATCTTCTTAGGCACTCACATATTACTTCTGAATGAGGTCAAGATGCAAAATATTAATTCATGGCTCTATGAAAAATACCCATGAAGACCACTTTAGAAAGTAACAACACTGTCTGACTCCAGGTAGTGTGTTTATTCCTGATACTTAGTTTATTCTTAAGTTTCTATAAATGTAGTATATGTTCTGTTTTCCTGCAGGTTTATTTTTCCCAAGGTTTATTTTGTTTGCTTCCATTTCAACTTCCTTTACTACTCTGCAAAACGATTTACACTTCTGCCCAATTAGAGTGACTGATAACAGGTTCCCAGGCTACACTTGCATTAGTCACCAGTCTTCGCTGCTCTACACATTTCATGAGGACGGAGGCAGAGTGGCACGACCACGACGACACCTTTGGTGTCAGTCACATGAAAGCGTTAAACCAAAAACACACAACCAAGTATGACAGGTCAGAGCTAATTCTTAAAATAGCAGCGTGACTTGGGATTCTAACGTGGGTCCCAACACGTGCTGCATGACCTTAAATAAGTTACTTCACTTCTCTGACCACCTTCAATGCTTTTTCCAGTGCAATGCAGGAAAACTAACAGCTACTTCCAAAGTTACGGTGGGACAGGTGTGTATGGCACAGCCAGCCTGTGCAACCCCTGCCAGTGGCCCTGGGCCCAGCGAGCACAGAGACCAGGACGAAGCTCCTGGCCTGGCCATCCTGGGAAATGAACCAAGCTAGATAACCTTTGTTTTTCCCTCTCTCCGCAATTCTGACTTTTGAATAAATACCCCAAATGAACTTTTTTTAAAATGTAAAAATTATGCTAACATATGCACATTACACACAGGAGCTCAATAAACGTCAAGTGCTTTGCTCTCATGCACTCTACATCCTAAAATCCTACACAGAAACAGGACCAACAATAAATTACTCCCGTAAAAATCCAACAGCGCCATTCGCAAGCATCTCTCCAAAACCTTCAACGGGGTCGGCCAATCACGGGGCGGATTGTTTTCAAAATGTCAGAGACACAAAAATTTAAGGGAAAAGCAAAACACGTCCAGAATGAGGCTCGAAGCCAACAGATAGGAAAAAAAAACACCTATTTGCTTCTGCACCTAGTGGAGTTTTTTTGGCAGAAGCCCTTGAAGAAAAAATGGATTAGAAAAGTAACTGAAGCCCAACAGCGGCGTGCTTTGGGAAAACATTCCGCGCCCGCCCTCGCACATCAAGGACAACTATTTTGAAACTTTTCCTTGGGAAGCGGAAAACGGAGCGCTTCCACGCGAGTCCAGCATGCTCGTACCCAGGGACGTGCTTCCTTCCCATCCTCGCTCCCAGGGAGACGTGCGAGCGGCCCGCACGCGCCGCCGCGCAGACCAAGTTCTGTCATTCCTACCATCACCGCTCCTCCCGGTTCCGCCGGCCCTGCCCCGCTGGCCCCCGTACGGCCCGGGGAGACTGCAGCCCGGCCGGGCTCCGGCCCCATCTCGCCAGCTCCGTGCTGCCCGTCACGGCCCGCACCCGCCGGCGTCGCAGCCTGCGCGCTCGCCTCCCCGCCGCCCCGCAGTCCCCGGCGCCGCCGCCTCCAGCCCCGCCTCGACCGGCGTTCCTGACGGCGATCACACCCGCGCTCCCCACCCCCACTCGGCCCTCCGCCGGCCGCGCGGCCGTTACGAACGGCCGGGCCCGTGACGCACGGACGCGCCCGGAGCGGCCGGCCCCGGAGGCGCCCCGGCCGGAGCCACGGGCCGGATCCCCGCGCCTCGCTCCCGGCGGCCTCTCCCCGGGTCCGGCCGAGCACAGCCCCGATCCGCCGGCGGGAGGGGGAGGGGCCGCGGCCGCAGGGCCCCCACTCACCGGGTTCTCGGCAACCGGCCCCGGCGCCACGAAGCTGAGGCGCTCGCTCGCTCGCTCGCCCGCCGGCCCGCCGGGCCTCTCGCGCGCACAACCCCGAGCAGCCGGCCCGCGCTCCGGCGCTGCTCACCAGGCCTCGCTCTCCGCCGCGCACCGAGCAGCGAGCCTCAGCTCAGCCGGCGTGCGCAGCGCGCCTGCGTGCGGGGGCCGGCCCTCGCGCCTGCGCAGGGCCCCCCACCGCCCGCCGCAGAGGCCGCCGGGAGTTGTAGTCTCCCAACGGTTGCGCACGGACAGTCCCTAGAAGTAGGCGTCCACATGGGTGAGGAATCCGGAATGAAGAAAGGGCTTCTTGGAGCTGGTTTGCAACCTGGCAAAGGTTGAAGAAAGGAATGTCTGCAAACCTGTCTTTGCTGCTCTCTTCCAGAAAGGATCTTCTTCTCCATCTGCCTTCTTACTAGGCAGATAGCAGTTTCAGTTTGTGATGACGTGATGAATGACTGATGACATGAATACAGGGTTGTTGGCCCCCTCGAAGCTTAAAGGGGCAAGAAGCTTCTATAGATATTGTTGTTTTAGACAGCTAGTTCAAGGTCACCAGCTTGGAATCCATGCCTTCCGCACCCACGTAATCCTTTCTGCCCACCTGTGATGCTAAGCCATCACCTGGAGCCTGGGAGGAGGGTGGTGATAAGACATTGTTGGGTAACCACTCCCATCACAAGCCCCCGGAGGCCCGTAATAGGGAGGGGTCCTCTGCCTTGGACACGCACTTCTAATCGCTCTAGCACGCTGACTCTTGCCCTTTCCATCCAGCTTCCTCTGGCTTCCCACGAACAGAACAGACTCCAAGACAAGGAGCCCCTGAGCATGGCCCCTGTACGTCTGTACTCCTCACCCTCTGTTCACTGCTTGGGTGAATCAGTGAAGATGGGAATGCTAAGATGCTTTGTACTTCTAATCTGTGTACTTCCAACAGTTCCAGGAGAGGTGAGGCCTAGCAGTAATGGAATGTGGGCAGAGAAGCCAGGAAAAGGTGAATGTTTGCAGCCTTGTAAGTGTGTCCAGGTTATTTACTCTATATTGTTGGGGAAGCTGGGACATAGGCCTTCAGTTTAAGGGATAGACTTCATGGTAATGGCCATTTGCTCCTTTCGGGGTTTATATTCCGACTGGATTGCCACATGTACTTAGTGTTACTGTCTAGGGCCCTTTTATCAGCAGGATTGGTTAAAAACAAACAAACAAAAAAGCCTCCTTAAAACATTCTGGTCTTGTTTGGCATGATCTCTCTCACACCCCAAACAGTATTCCCTTTTTGATTCTCTCCTGTCCCCTTTGCCTGAAAACATATGCACCATGTCAAATTTGGTGTAGAAACAAGAGACACACACCCGTTTTAGTCCATAAATACCCGTCAAGTGGAAAGTTGGGAACAAGTGATTGTGACTGATCAATTTGATGCAGTTCTTCCTTGGGGGGAGCAAATGGAGTAGGTTTAAAACTGAAGCCAGTCAGGGCCTAGTGCAGTAGCCTAGTGGCTTAAATCCTTGCATTACATGCACCAGGATTCCACATGGACACCAGTTCTAATCCCAGCTGCCCTGATTCCCATCTAACTCCCTGCTTGTGGCCTGAGAAAGCAGTCGAGGAATGAGCCCAAAGCCTTGGGACCCTGCACCCATGTGGGAGAATCTTCCTGTTCCTCCTCTCTGTATGTCTGACTTTCCAATAAAAATAAATAAATCTTTATAATAAAATTGGAGCCAGTCAGGCAGAGGTTATAGAATGTAAAAACTTAAGTCCTAGTTTGCCAATTCAGTTGGAAATGCACTGAGGAGCAAGGTGAAAGAGATGGGTAGATTAACACGTATCCCAGCCCAGGGCGTTGGGAGAGAGGCACTAATTGAACGCTCGGTTATGCAATGCTCATTTGTCCCGGATCTCTCTCTCTCCCTGCTGCATCAGCATTCCCCCTCTAATGCTTTGTTCACCAGGATCAAAGCTGGGTCTGAGCCAGGGGGCTGGGGAGAAGAGAAGGTAGTCTGTCGGGTGGATGGAGAGACAAGTGTGTGGTGACAACCAGGCAGAGGACACATTACCTGCTCTCCATCAGGAGCCACAGCTGATGAGAGTGGAGCTTCAGTCTTTGTGAAAGCTCCTTCCAGTACACCCTTCCTTACAGATTGGACACAGGCCTAGAGAGTCCCAGGCCAACGTCTTGGGTATTTATCAGGGCTTCCCCTCTTTAGCAGAGTCTCTTGAACCTCAAAAAAAAAAGCGTAGATCACTGTCCCCAGCCAGTGGTTTTAGAATCAGCCATCAACTCTGGTTTGGAACAGGAAGGGCAAATGTCAGCTCAGGATGCTATATCTTCACTTGTTAGTAGGTGCAGTGGGCAGAATTCAAGGATGACTATTCCCCTCCCCCACCTTACAAACTGCCCCTGCTGTAGAATTTCCACCCTTGGTTGTGGCTGGGAACTTTGACTGGCTTGTGGCCAAAGAACATGGCAAAGATGTATGATGGTGTCTTAGCTGACTGGAGCTAGAGACCTTCATGCAGGCCTTGAAGTCGTGAGCTACCCACGATGAGAGCTACGTGGCAGGATGGCTAGGAGTCAAAGATGGGCCCTAGAACCCAAGTGGTGCCTCCAGAAGCAACTCAGGAAGAAGCCAGGGCCCCCAGTTACACAACCACAAGATGTGCCAACAACCAGAGAGAACATGGAGGCAGACTCCACCCAATCCAAGCCTCCAGACGAGAAGACAGCCGGACCTGGACTTTGATTGCAAGCTTTGTTAGATGCCAAGCACGGAAACCAGCTCAGCAGTGTGTGAAACATGGGCTCACAAAACTGTGGAACAGCATGCTTCAAAGCTACTAGGTTTGTTGTTCCTTTTCACACAGTAATAGATAGTGAATATACTAGACATTGTTGGATTATTTCATAAAGTGGATTGCTGGTTTATACGGGATTTTTCTTTCTAGGAAAGGCAAGAGAAGGGAATGAAATGAGGTTAGATAACATATCTCAAAGTATAGTTCAACAGGACTAAGTTCTGGTGTTCTGCAGTGAGGTAGGGTAACTGCAACCTATAGCAATCCATGATATATTCAAAAATAACTAAAAATCTGATGGGTCCGAACAAATAGAAATGATTAACATTTCAGGAGGCAGAAATGCCTGTTAGCCTGAATACATTGTGCGCATACTGCACCCTAAAATATGTACAAGTATCGGGGGTCCTCCCGTCCCGCGGAAGAAATCACCCGACACTTGAGTCTCCAAGGCGCTTTATTCTGATCTTCCATTGTGTCTGTTACGACCGTTAATTCCGTTATGCTCCAGCCCCTCCTTCGCCAAGCCCCTGCTTAACTGTGAAATTTGTCCAATCAGCTTAAAGATACCAAGGCACACCAATCATGGCAAAGGGCCAATCACAGGGCAGGAAATAGTCAGTGCCCCCAACATACAAGAGTGAATATTATGTGTCAATAAACAAAGTTCAACATAGATTTACCATGCGGTCTAGCACTTCCACGCTAGGCTTACACATTAAAAAGTGAAAACATGTCCACACACAGAAGTTTGGTTATGAATGTTGATAGCCACATTATTGACTACAGACAAAAAAACAAAAGCAATCCAAATGCCTATCAACCGTGGAATAGATACAGAAATAAACTGCACGAACTCTCCAAAGGCATGTTACCCAGTGATAACAAGGATGAAGTACTGGTACGTGCAACTAATGATGGGCTTTGAAAACAGGATACTGTGTGGGAACAAAAAAGTCACAAAAAGGTGTATAGTATAAATTTTCTGTAACATTCTTGCTAACATTTACCTTTTTGACAATCTATGGGCAGGCACCATGGCATATCAGGCTAATCTTCTGCCTGTGTTCCTGGCATCCAATATGAGTGCCAGTTTGAGTCTCAGGTGCTCCACATTCAATCCTGCTCCTTGCTGATGTTCCAGAAAGGCAGCTGGAGGACAGCTCAAGGCCTTGGCCCCCTACGTCCATGTGGGAGACCTAGAAGAAGCTCCTGGCTCCTGACTTCAGCCCAGCCCAGCCCAGCTCTGGCCATTGTGGACATTTGAGGAGTGAGCCAGCAGATTGAAGATCTCCTTCTATTTGTCTGTCTGTCTCTGTAACTCTGACTTTAAAGTAAAATAAATCTTAAAAAAAAAAAACCTTGTCACAATATAATAGGTGTGAAATGGAAATAATATAAATAGAGCATAAAAATAATATTACTTGAGCATAAAAATATGAAAAGTAGGCGCCAATGTAGTGAGTGATGCACCAGGTTAAGTGGTCAATTGCAATGCAGGCTTTCTGTATCCAGTTGATGCTTTGGGTACTAAATCCTCCACTTCTGATTCATGTTCTTGAGCCTGAGAAAGCAACATGAAATGACCCAAGTACTTACACTCCAGCCAAAAAGGTAAACATCTAGAATGAAGCTTCTGGCTCCTGCCTTTGGCCTGGTCTAGACCTGTCTGGGGTATCGGGGGTCCTCCCGTCCCGCGGAAGAAATCACCCGACACTTGAGAGAATCTCCAAGGCGCTTTATTCCGATCTTCCGTTGTGTCCGTTATGACCGTTAATTCCGTTATGCTCCAGCCCCTCCCCCCCCCCCCCCCCCCCCGCTTAACTGTCAAACCTGTCCAATCAGCTTAAAGATACCCAAGGCACACCAATCAGGGCAAAGGGCCAATCACGGGGCAGGAAATGGTCAGTGCCCCCCAACACTGGGGCAGCTTTGGGATTGAACAGTGGAGGATCCCTTTCATTTCTCTCTCTCTTTCTCTCGCTCTCTCTCTGCCTTTCAAATATATCAATCTGTTTTTTTTTTTCTCTAGAAATTTTTCTGTCTGTGGAAAGGCAGATATACAGAGAGAAGGAGAGTCAGAAAGAAAGCTTGGGGAACTCTTCTGTCAGTATGCAGTCGCTGCAAGTGATTGCCAGAACCAAGACTGGGAGCAGCCCAGAGCAGGCCAAGTTATGGTATTATCAGCGTATGTATGGCTCAGGTCTGCGGGCGAGTCAGGCTAGGTGTTCATAGCACCCACTGGCAGATGTGAGGACCAGAATGGGGAGCAAGACAGGCCCAGTTGGGCCACACACCAGGCAGCTCACATTAGGGCGGG